AGGGTATGATAAATGTTAATTTTTAAACCAAATCCGTTGCCAACTACCATATTTGACTCAATGCTCAACCCCCTTTTTTTACTGACCATTGTGAATTTGTGACTAAAAAAGTGGTTTCACCATAAAATTTTGACGATAAAGAGTGTCGCCTAACTTACTAGAGGTTGATATACTAGTTTTTGGACAGATTCAAGAGAATCAATACGGAAAAACACAAATGTAGAAGAGTTTATCCTCCGCACCAAACACATCACCACAGGAACCGGAACCTCACCTAAAGTTGACAAATGTAGAAGAGTTTAGTATCCTCTCCTTCTCCTTGTTTCAACCAATTAACCATCATAAGCTAGTGTTCCTTAAAACTCAATTAACGTTGTGAATGTTATGAAGTCGTCAATCTTGAAAAAATGGTAGGTAGAGAATGCTGTAAGCACCTTTAGGTTTGAACAAAACGGAGATGAGCAGGGGTACGTCATAATATATGATATAACGTCACTCTTCCATTATTTTCCCCAAAAAAAATCTCAAAAAATAAAAAAGCTTCTTTCTCTGTTTTCAAGATGGGCTCTGCTCTAATACATGTGTAGTAGTAGTAGTAGTGGGAGGGACTGGTGGGGCGTCAAAATTTCCTTGTTATCTGATGGCTTTGCCGAGCCTTGCTCCGAACAAATCCCCAAGTTTTTCCCACTCCCATGGATGGGGCCTTTCTTTTGTCTGCTGGGTGCGCATGCAACTAAGGTCCAATCACACCCCCCACCCAAAGTATTCAAAATGGATCCAAACCCGAAAGGAAACCCAACAACTCTGATAAATTCTTCTACTAGATGATGTACTCGTATATATTCCTTTTTTGACTCATTTTCATTCGGAGGCTGGGTCCCAGCTTCACTTTTACCTCTACTACGATGTGACCCACAACTAGGCTGCTTTGATCAGTGAAGACGCAATGATTATTAACACATAAAATAAGGTCATTAGTGATGCGTCATGGATGGAGTCGAATATTAACATTATTACTATGATTATTATTCCTATTAGGTTTGGAATGTATACATGTTGCTATGGTATAAGATTATAGATCCTAACCCGAAAACAAATCTAGCTAGTTAGGGTTTAAAGCAATTAAAATTGGGGGGGGGGGGGAATTTTAGTGAGCATGCGAAGCTAGGTTAATCTCATAATAAAATCGTGAATCTACCCTTCCGTTCCTTTATGATCTGATGGTTGCAGCCGGGCCTTACAAGAAACAATAATAGCAATGAATTGTATCCGCATAGAAATATTCTATGCAAACATGACCCTTCAATTTGTAAAAAAGAAAAAAAAGCCTAGAAATTGTGGGTCATAGTTCAAGAAAAAAAGAGGGAGGGGAAAAAAAAACTCAGTTTTCGGTTCTCTAATAACAGTTTCGGTGGGAGTAAAACAAGCATATATTTAGTGTTACAAAATCCGTGTGGGTTTGAGCCACAGCATGCATTAAGCTCGATCAAGTCACCAGACACTCGCAGCAACTCGGGATCCTAGGCATCAAAGAAAGCGCCGAGTTCCACTTCTATTCAATTCATGGTTCTCCCCGGCCCGGCCCGGCCCGGCCCCTTCCCCAATTCTGATCACCGCAATTCCCTTCCCCTTTTCCTAATCACCCCTTGCAGTGATTAATTAATTAATTAATTAATAACGTATTAATATATCATATGCTAGTAACCGAATCCATCCACATTTTTGACCCGGCATAAGCGCGTCATTCATTACCATAGTTAAATTAATTTAACGCTTCTAAATGATTGTTTCACCTCGTTTATTGTGCAATGCGCGGTCCACTTGCTTTAATCGCCCTACTCAGCAACAATACAGATTTTGCAATTTGCTACAAAACGCTCTCTAGCTAGTCACGAAGTTCTTATTCAGCTAGGACAAAAAAGATAGATCCATTCCAGGACAAATACTCAAAAGACCGTAACGGACTACGTAAAATACAGTACGGTTGCATTATCAGATGTTTACATGCCAATGCAGAGAAACAAAGCGGTACCTAAGTTCACATACCAAGGGGAAGATATTTATATTACTCATCTGTCACGAAACATTTTTACCCATGCACCCTGGCTGGTAGTTTCACCGCACGGATTTTTTTTTCCCCCTTTTAACTTGCGAAGAAAACCAATCCCTTATCTTGACATTTTAAGGGCCAGTTTGGTTTTTTTTTCAATTTAGGATGCTTATTGTTTTTTTTAAGGACGCTTTCGCTTATTATTTAAAGAAGCAATCAATAATGGTGTTTGATGGAATTTTTTTTTAACATGCTTATCAAAACTACTTCTCCTTCTAAGTGGTACTTTTAGAAACACCATAAGGATGCTTTAAGAACAAATTCTGCTTTTTTTTTGTTTGTATATCATCTTCATCTATTATCGTTTAACAATGACCATTAACTACAGTTCTTCCAAACATCTTAACTACTTTTTAAGAAGTTATGATATCTGATTACCAAACCGCTATTTTCAGCAGCTTATATAAGTTGCTTTTATAAGCTGGTTTTATAAGTAACTTATTTATAAGATCCAACAATATCAAACTAGCCCAAAATGCATTTATCATCTAAGAAAATTTGGTAGATCTCATACTTAAGATGGAATCTTATCTTAAAAGAAGTGATGTAGGACGCTTAATCTGAGTTTGAGTCTATTTAGATTACGAAATATAGATTAGCAAATAAATTCAATTTTAGAGTCAGATTAGATTAGGAAACAAACTCAATTTTGGTTCATGATTTGTTTCCTCTATCATAAGGAGTCTTTTTTAAAATAGAATTTGATACTTTCTATTTCTTTGTAATTCTAGTCTTACTATGAGTCTTATTTGTTTTTTCTATTTAAGAAGAGTTATGTAACCCCAAAGGTGAAGAATAACTTTTCATCAATAAAATTTCTATTTTCAATATTTTCTTCGTGGGTTCGAAGTTCTTCGTGGATTCGAAGATCGTTCTTTGTGGATTCAGAGAATACCCTTGGTGGATTCTGAGGTTATCACTTTCGCGCTGCGTCAATTGGTACCAAAGACTTCTTCCTCCGATCCGATGGCAGGTAATGAAGCCCCTATTTCTCAAACTGAGTTCGACGTGCTAAAGATCGATGTTAATCAGATGAAGACTGTCATGGAGCGACTTACGACGGCAGTTAAGCGTTTGAACATGGTGGGTGTTCAAAATCATGTTGATGGTCGCCAACGACATGATTTGACATCACAAGATAAAATCTACAGTGATGATCATAGAGGCTACCGAAGAAAGGAGAACTATGATGCTGGAGGATTAAAAATATCATCATTCAATGGAAAGCTTCATGTTGATGATTTCCTTGATTGGATTGATAAAGTGGATAAGTATTTTAAGTATAATATAATCCCAGAAGATTGGAAAGTTAAATTAGTGGTCTATGGGCTTAAAGAAAAAACATCTGCATGGTGGGATGAAGTACTGATAAATCGATACCATCAAGGAAAGGATCCGGTTCGAACGTGGGTAAAGATGAAGAAATTATTGAGAGATCGTTTCTTACCTTCTAACTACAAGCAATGGCAGGTGTCTCTAGTGGCAAACAACAAGACGCTCACCCCCGGAAAGGAAGATTTTGCCACCATCAAGATTCATCCTGAGGTTCCTGATGTTGATGATGATATGTGAA